TTTGGAGGATTTTGTTTTAAAAAAGCCTCATCCACGTCTTCTTCCTGATTACGTGGCCTGTAATAGACCCACTAAAATGACATCATCCTTGTTTTAACCCCTTTAACCTTTTCTAGAGACTCTCAACAAGCCTGTCTCCTACGTCCATCTCAGACTAGGTTGAAGTAAGGTAACTTACTATAGAAACCAATCCAGTCATCATTGAGGAATTTCTGGAATATATTAATTACTGGATTAAGTAGTTCTGGAAAACTCTAAAAGCTATAGTCTAGCAATCATTGAGGTACCCTCTCTCCAGGAGGCTGGCTTGTGTGTTGTACTAATGGAAGGAAATGAAAACAGATCAAAGAATGCATACAATAGCTGTCCTCAAGGATTTTTTTTATAAATAGTTGTGCTGACACAAGTTAATAACAATACTGTGATAAGATAATGTGACAGTAACATGCAGAATCCATTATTTTCATTGGACAGATAATGACTTGTTGTGCTATTATACATTGCATGATCTCACACTGGCAAGATGATTAATTCATAGCAGTGCTACTCTGGCACTGCAGGGCTTTCTGTATTTATATATAAGCACGCCTATGCACGGTTTGTCCTGCTGCATCCAAGGTGTCTAATTCTAGGGAATAGAGGAATGAGCTCTTCAAGCCAATAAAGTATGGATGCTGCAGGACTTGCAACAGAAAACTGATTGCCTGATGCTGGGCCAAATCCAAAGGACAGATTCAGCCTCCCCCAGACAATTTATCTTTGCAGAGCAGCTGTCTTTGCTCTGATCTGCTGCTTGCCCCAAACTGAAAGTGACAATTTCAGTGCGTTCCTTTTAGCGTTCCCATGCCAGAATAGTAGCAGCAGCCATTTCAGGCCAAAAGGGTTTCATGGCAGATCAGTGCAACTTCAAATAAATTGGAGTGATTTTGAATGAACTGAGTTACCTAGATAAATTGCTTAGAAAAATGGAGTAGTTAGTCCTGCTTCTCATGACTCTCACCTGCTCAAGCTACTCATTAGAAAGAGGAAATGTTGTTATAGCCTTCTTATATTGTAACATCTGTTTTTATTTCTTGTTTATTCAGAGATCTTATTTCAGCCAGAGCACATGACACCAGTGCTCTGTGACGTGTGTGAGTTTCCAAGGGGAGTTTTGGTGTTGGTTTAGACTTGTAAAGTCCAACTCATTTATGACCTGGTTACATGAAACATCACCTCCCTCCATGTGTGACATGTTGCCACTGCTGCTCTTAGCAGTGTTGCAGCAGACTCCCAGGACATAATGGTGAAGCCTTGTGCTTGGAAGGCAGCTGTCTGTAACCCCTGAGTTTGTTGATATTCTGGGCATGCTGCAAGGCCCACAAGGCACAATAAGAACTAGAACTTAGGGTAGGGAAGTATTGCTTGGGTTTCCACTTTAGCGACTACTGAGCAACTAATAATCAATGGCACCATAGTTTCTGGAAACTCGGGCTCATAGGCCTGAGAGAGCCCAACACCACATACATGGCCCTGGGCTGCTTGAATGTCCACTAGCTTCTTTGTACATTTACTCCAATAGCCATTGATGAAGGAAGGAAGGGAGCTGTCTCCCTGATTAAGGTAGGAAACTGAATCTTACCTGTGGAAAAAAAGTTTCCCCCTTATATCAACCTCTGTATATTTTTCCTCATTCTCATAACCAAGAAAAATAACCTTATTTCCAACATCATACTCCACCATTACATTCCCCGGAACTGCCAGTCTTCTTTTTTTTTCTTTTTACACTCTTGACTACACTCTTGACAGTTATGCCTCTGCTTAACGCATTATAAATATATCAAGAGTGTAATGTTTCAGAACATAGTGCAAAATAAACTGCAAGGGTAAAATTTCCTTGTGTGTGTCAGTTTCATTGTATTAAATGTTTGTTATGGAAAACTTGTTTATTGGTGGTCCTATTTAAAAACAAAACAAAGAATTCTCTGGCATTACACAGTTATCTGCCTTCTGACATACAGCCAAGGAAAAAGAGGATCAGCTAACATCCATGACAAAACACAGTAGCAGTATTCTGGCACATATGCTCAGTGGCTCTTTAGGTCAACACCCTTTTGGGCTAGACTAAATGAGAAATGTAACACACTGGAAAGACAACATCAAAGACATCTAATGGCATTAGTATTTAAAAGTAGCACAGTTCATGCCTGAAATAGAATGCATGTCTCAACTCAGGAACAGCCATTATTTCTATAGAAGGGTCATTCAAGTCCTAATCCACTCAATTTGTGAATTATAGAGATGATACTAATTTATTATAATTTTGTTCTAGAACAGCATGTGGAAATTTCATTAATTTATATGGCAGTTGTAACCAATAGAAACAGGTTAATAGACTACATTTTCCCTATCACTGTTCAATTTCATCCTGTTCTCTAAGGCTGTGTGTCACACACATGTTTTGGTAATGGTTTATAAATTATATTATAAGCTGTGGTATGTGGAAGGGACTCTTACACTGTGCAAGGCATTGCAACAGGTTGAGTGTTGGTTGTTACTGTAATTGACAGCAATAGCAAGCACAACTGTAGCCTTCCTTATGCCACCTCCCACTAACCAGCTGTCCACAAAGTCAGTCATAACTTAGAGAGACCAGCTCTATATGTTGACAGGGAAGCACACATGATCATTCAACCTTTGCTGAGACTGCTAAAATAGGGACTACTGGCAACAGGAGTGAGATTATGAGTGAAACCTTGTCTGAGAGCTGGAAGTGGCTGAATAGGAAGTGTTGCTGCAGAATGGTTGTTTTGTAATTCATGGTAGGGAAGGAAACATTTATGACCTTGGTTGTAGAATGCTAGGAGCATATTCAGATTCGTGCTACAGCTCATTGCTTGACATTTGCATGGATCGGCAAAGGAAATACACTGAAAGCAAAAATTCAATTTAAATAAATATTTTACTATTATCTCAAAAAAGGCTCTGAAAGCAAAAATTCAATTTAAATAAATATTTTACTATCATCTCAAAAAAGGCCCTTTTAGCAGCATGGGCCCTTTTAGCAGCATGGGGCCTTTATAACCCTATGGAGGAACACTAATTTAACCTTGATCACATATTGCCCCTTTTGGCACCAGCTAGTTCTTCATGAGAGGTCTTCCTATCAAGGGTCACTCACCTCTTCACACAAGGATGTATCACTTTCTTCCCAGCTAGTACAGAGTGGGTTGCCCAAGCTATTCTCTATTTCACAGTATGTTGTTGAAATAGAGATGTCTTCAGTAGTCTGAGGGAAGTAATTACTGTAATTTGTTTTTCAAGATTCTAATTGTACATGAAGAATGCCAGTTTCTCTTCCTGATTGATGAACATATTTCAAATGTAGATAATTACATCTTTTTATTTGAACTGCCAGCCTAGACACTTCCAATTTGTAATGTAATTGCTAAACTTATTTTTGTCTCTAATTGGAGTGGTGCTGGCAATACCCCGACCGGTATATTTAACCAGCCACCACTAAATTGCTTTGAATACAGTTCACTTTTGCTGTCACTGTAGTTAATAACATGAGATATATTCTTTAGATGAGCATCTTGTCACAGACATTTTGGATCAAGCTAGGAAAACTAAATGGTATATGTAAAATAAATGCGTCAAAATGAATCCTGTTGTATGTATAGAACCAAAAAAAGTCAAATTTAGCTATTAATTTGTGTTGAAAGTGAATGTATGTATGTCAGCATTCGCATGACTTCGTAAAGACTTTTTGCAATATATTCTCAAAATTGTAGCCGTATAACACCTACCTACAGTGGGTGACTATGCTAGCCTTACAAACAAAAACTGTGCTTACCCTGACACCTGCCATTTTTTAAGAACTAAAGTTGTTGATGAGGTTGCTTTAATGCATACCTTTGTTACTGAAGGAAGAATGTATGGCAGTGGGCTGATATAATTATCTCTATTGGCCCATCAACTCAGAAGCACTGGGCCAAGAGGAGAAGGAGGCACGAGGGGATGAATATAATAATCAGGTCACATATGAGACTAGTGAATGTAATTGTTCTTTGGTTTTTCTCTACTGGTGTTTATCACTTGGCATTTTCATTAGAATGAACAAACTGTTGTACTGATGATTAATAGTAAGAATGAAGTCATGGTATTGTAAGAGATACAAGAATCAGATATGGTTTTCAGTCTCAGTCTAATAAAATATGTCCAACTGAGAAGGTAGTCCCAGCCCAAGATCTTCTAGTGAGAGCCAGTAGCAGTTCATAATTAGTTTTACATTAAAAACTCAGACCATAAGGCAGTAGGAAATGCACAAATGCTAAAATGGTCTTGCAGCTTCAAAAAATGTAATATTTTCTTTAAAGTTCTCAATCAGTTCATAGTACCCCTGGATACTTGTACAATGGGTATTGAAACCTACACACCAATTCAAAAATCTACAATACATATGGTCTACTTAATAATCCAAGGACGAAAACTAAAGTATGACAATCAAACCACCCTCCTTCACCTATATTATTTTTTCAAGAGGCCTTCTGCCAAAAAGTTTGTGACAATATTTGTCCTCCTGATGGTCAAGAAGTTTTGCCTGATGGACCGAAGAGAGACTTTGAGACCTCTAATAGACAGTGCCTTGTCACTAGTCACATTCATATTAAATGGTGCTGCAATCAAGTGTCTTGATTGATGATAAATGAAGTGCTGCAGTGAGAGAACAGCTCACTCAGGTCATCAGGACTTCAACCATTCTGCACTTTCATTGCTGTAAGTAGAGTTGTGAAGGCAGTGAAATGGAAGCTGTATTTTAAATCACCCAATGCATTGGCCACACTATTGAAAGTTCTTGCTTCCTGTGGTGAAAATTACAGCTGGAATGATTTTCACTATTCTCACACAGACTCACCCAAATGGGGAAGGTGAGAGTGTTTCTTTTTTTTAAATTACTTCAGAATTTGGGTTTACCCCTATAAAACCCCCACAAATGCCAAAATTTCAATTTCCAGTAATTCAAATGCCAAAATCTTTATTTAAAGAAGTAAAAAATACCCAGTTTTCAGTTGCCAGAACTGCAGCATTTATTTAAATGGACTATTTTATGGGAATAGTAATAGAGATGTAGCTGTGTTAGTCTGGTCTTGCTGAAACAAAAGACAGGACTATGCAGAAGGGCCCACATCATCGCCAACACGCTGTCCTGTAGTGGGGGGCCCGAAATTCCCCAGGCCACAGGCAGAGTGACCCCACCTGTAGTGGGGGAAGAGATGTGGTGTAGTGTTAGTACCTTGTTAGTTACTATGCTTGGGCTGTGGGCTGTGGGGGACCCCCACTGGCAGCTGCCTGTAAGCACAGCACAGCACAGCAGGGCGTGCCTTACGGCCCCAGGACAATGGTTAAAACCAGTTCTACAAGTTAAGGGAAGAGGCTGAACAAAGGAAGTGTGTGCTGAGGGAAGGGGCAGTCTTGGGCTGGGACCATGAGGGAGGCAAACTGAGGTTGCTGGGGCTAGGGGTGATAGACCCCCTAACCCAAGAGGTCTGAAACATCCTGGCCCCGAAGCCTGTAATCACACCACATCTACGCTGTGCTGTATCCTGGAGAAGCAATAAACTCCCTCTATTCTTCTGCTGGCGGAACCTGTTCTTGCTGTTACAGGGGTGTAGGATCGGGGGAACCCCGACTGCGCCATCACAGTTGTGTAGTCCTGTATTTTATGGGAGTGGGTGGAAGGGAGAGTCCATTTAGGTAAAAACTTTTCTTTAACCTGTCTTAAAAAACACTATGGATGCCTTGTCATCTTCACCAGTTTTGTTCAAGTTAGCATGATTTAACTTTACTTTTTCTTTTATGTGAAGCACGAAAACTATGGACTTTGTGGGGCTACTGTGTATGTTCCTGCTTCAGATGCTTTAATAAGGTACAGGACAAATAAATGTGGTGGTTGCAAATAGCTAAAGGTGTAACTCCTGGATAAAGATCCTCCGTACAGTACATTGACAGTTACATGAAACTTCTTCAGTTTAGTTGTATTTTTTTGTCTGCTGCTGGAGGTGAGTCCCAGCTTGCTGTAGCATATCCATGTAAGACCTAATGTGGTGCCTAGAAAAGAAGAAATCTGTTACATTATGAAGGTACTATTGAGTTATTTAAAGCTAACTTTTATTTAATATGGAACTGTGGGTAATATACTGATATTCTCAAGTTTCACAATTTTACGGTCTGTCCTCTCATGTGTTGGGCCCCAGCCAAATTCAAAATTTCTGGGTTGCCTTCAGAGTTGGTTGTCTGGAGAACAAAGGCTGCTGGCCAGGAGCCCAGGTCTGAAGGCAGAGCCACCACCAAGAATAGCGCATGGTATGGTATGGCCACCTTTACTTCTGTCATGCTGCATCCAGAGCTGGAGTCTCTGCCAGCAGCTATCACTTTTTGGGTGTCCAGCTCTAGACAATAGCACAGAAATAAGGGTGGCCATGGTATATTGCCACCCCTTCTTCTGCACTGCTGCTAGCAGGATGCTGCCTTCAGAGCTGGGTGCCTGACCAACAGCGGTCACTCGCCAGCTACCCAGCTCTGAAAGCAGAACAGAAGTAAGGGTGGTAATACCATAATCACTCCCAAAAATAATCTTCTGACCCCCTCCCCCCCTGCATCTTGCTTTTAGGTCAGGACCCCGAATTTGAGAAACTCTGGTCTCCTGCATGAAACCAGTGTAGTAGGTCAGGACCCCAAATTTGAGAAACTCTGGTCTCCCGCATGAAACCAGTGTAGAGTAAAAGCACATAAAAGACCAGATTTCAAAGGGGAAGACCAGACTTCAAGATGCATTTTTTTATGGCCTAGAATTTGGTAGGCCCTAATAATGTGAGTACCTAAAAACATTGACAGTTAATTTGTATAGTACTATCAATGAACTTAAACAGAGCTATCTACGGGCCAGAGAATATTCGCAATCCAGCCTTGGAATCCTGGCAGCGAGGGCTGGGCATGTCTGTACCAGGGGGAGCGACTATCTACGGGCCAGAGAATATTCGCAATCCAGCCTTGGAATCCTGGCGGCGAGGACTGGGCATGTCTATACCAGGGGGAGCGGGGAGAGGGAAGGGCAGTGGTGGGATGGCTCATGGTTTGGGGGATAGTTACGGACATACCCCACCCCACTCCCCCAGCCACCAGGACTCCCGGGCCAGATTGCAATTATACTCCAGCCTGTGGATGGTCTGCGGGCCATGAGTTTAAGACCCCTGCTTCTAAGGCACGTGCAAGTACTGAACAATCAGGTTTAGAGCTAGTCAGGAACTTTCCATCTGGATGATTTTCCAAATGAAAAGACCCTTTTCACAATCAGCTTTCCAGGGGGAAAAGGGTTTTTTTTCTTCCACATCAAGAAAATTGAAATGATTCTGTTACACCTCCCTCTGTGGAAGAGTCCTCTTAATTTTGCTTTCTGCCTACAAGGAGGAAACAAAATAGACAAGAACCTTTTAGTAAAGCAGCTGGGAAGCATTAACAATTCTGTTTTATTTCTCCTTAAATAGAACTTCCTGGAAATTCCTTCTTGTGAAATGTTTTTGACTTTTTGTTCCAATTTGTTCCAAAATAAATTAATTATTAAATGCAAAAGAGGAAGGGATTTCCATTTTTCAGCCAGCTGCAGTTATGATTAGCCTGGCTACAGAGTAGATTTCTTCCTAGAGGCTGATCTGAGCCCTGATATTGGGAAGTTTAAGCTTATTTTAAAAATCAAAGTGTGTTCTTTTTTCTTGCAGCACGGGTTCCTATTCAGTGCTTGGGGTCCATGCTTGTGTGAAGCATGTTACAAACATATATGAAGATATATTAAAATAGTGGCAGAACTTTTCCGCTTCCCCACCCCCTATTTTTTTCTTGACACTATAACACATCTGCCCATGTAGCCTTTTATATTAAAAAGTCTAAAAGATAGGCCTCGTGACTAAACTGGAGATTGGATTATATTCCCACTTGTGCCAGTGACCTGTTTTGTGACCTTGGGCAAATCACATCACTTCTCAGTTCCTCTGCTTTCCTAAATAGGATTAATACTATCTCCTTTGGAAAGGGCTGTAACATCTACCCGTGAAAAGCAATCTGTACAAGTAATACATTTATTATTCTGTAGCACTATTCATGTCAAACATTATTGTTATTTAGAGACTGTTCCTTACATTTACTATAATCACTAAAAAAAATAGTGTTCATCTTAATATTCTTCTCAAAATTTTCATGTCAATTTGAGGACACTAAACTTATTGCAGGTAATTACCAACCTGTAAATACTTACATGTCTATCTTTTTTCCATTTCGATCAATCATGTTTTGATTCTGCATTGAATACAATTTCACTACTGACATTTATGCAGAGGAAAAAATTGCTCCTTCTCCCCTCCTTTCATTTTCTACAATGGGTTGCTTTCTATCAGCATTATGTGAACAATGTATGTCGGATCTAAAAGTCAAAGGTCACTCCTCGGTGCTTTGTTTTATTTCTCAAAACAAAGTCCATATAAAAAGCTCTCTAAATTTTAAAACTTGATTAGACTTGCAATATCATAATCACCACCCAGCAGCATTATCTCATCATATTCAAACTCAAACAGCCAGTAAAATTGGTAAAGCCCCTTTCATTCCAATGTTCAAAACAGAGTTATTTTCTAATCACTTTAATCTCTTGCAATTAAGACACGGGGAAACAGCACAGTGTAATAGTATACCATTAGGATCCTTTTGTGAATGCTATTATCTCCTCCATAAATTATTTATGCACACTCTTTAGTTAAGGTAAGTACTGTCTGTAGACAAAACTCACTGGGCAGCAGCAGGATCAAAGGCAAAAGATCCCAAGTCCAGGTAATATTGTGTTGTGGTTCTCAAAGCTGTCCATGATTCACTAACCTAAAACAGAACAAAGTGAATGGTGTTACTGGACTTGATACAGTTTCAATGGACTATAGGTCTTTCTGTAGAACCTTATCTAATCTGGCATGCAAGTCATACTCAAATAGCTTTACTAGAATAGCCAGATAGAAAGGAAGTTGGGATGGTGCATGTAAACTTGCAGTAGCAATGCCTGTGCCATAGCTGTGGCTAGAAGCGATCTGTTTCCAATGCTTTAAATCCAGTACAGTTTATCAGAACAAGATTAGTATGTAGTGAGGTGGTGGGAGAGGGAGTTTCACTTGACCAACCATTTATTGCAAGAGCAAATGTGCCAGTTTAAACTGGCCAGGTCACCATCTAGAAACTTTACAATTCTCAGAAGCATGAATAAGGAAGCTATTGACTATAGTATAAGAGATTGTAACCACCAACTCCTCATCCTAGTACTTTTCCATAAATGAGAGTTCAGTGACATGGAATTCGGTGTTCCTTGAAATCCCAGTAGCCTATCTGCAAACTGGCATTCAGAAGACAACACACATATTTCCAATCTCTTAAACAAGATAGTACAAAGTTGTCAAACACATACCTGTTCGGCCAGAGTGTAACCCCATGCATTCTCGCTATTGCTTAGGTCCCAATAGTGATGAGAATATGGTATTTGTCTTTTAAGTCTTATAAACTCATTTGCTTCGTCTTCAGACAGAAAAGGTGCTCCCAATACACCTGAAATGGAATATATGAGAGTTATTTTAGAGCTTACACTTCACATATTTGTAGCCCTGTGCCAGGTCTTCCCAGAACAGCATTAAGCCTAAACGCCAAGGCCGTGTCTACACTGGCGCAATCTTGCACAAAAACGGCCGCTCTTGCGCAAAAACTTGCTGCCTGTCTACACTGGCCGTGTGTTCTTGCGCAAGTAAACTGACGTTCTAATATATGAAATCAGGGCTTCTTGCACCAGAACTCTGACGCTCCTGCTCAGAAATAAGCCCTCTTGCACAACTGTTCTTGTGCATGAGGCCAGTGTAGACAGGCAACATGAATTTCTTGCACAAGAAAGACCTATGGTTAAAATGGCCATCTGAGCTTTCCTGCACAAGAGAACGTCTACACTGGCAAGGATGCTCGTGTGCAGAAGCGCATGCCAGTGTAGACACTCTCTTGCGCAACTACTTTAATGCAAGAACTCTTGCGCTAAAGAGTTTTTGTGCAAGATCACGCCAGTGTAAATGTAACCCAAAGTATTAGACCTTGGTCAGAAGGAGTATTTGAATTCAATTTAGGCCTCAAGTTCATGTGTTTGTAAAAACAAGATTTTACAAAACCTACATTTATTTATAGAAGGGTTTCTGCAAGTTTTCATCTAAATCCAAATGGAAGAAGTTACTTAAAGTGGATCATTTCACCCTACTGCATATGTAACACAAACAGGGAGAATCTGAAAGGGGAATTGCTTTAACTGATCATCATCAATATTGAGAGAAATACAAAACATAGTTAGCAAAAAGCAATCTAGACTTCATTATTCCTTTTCTTTTAATTTTCCGTGTGTGTGTGTGCGCGTGCGTGCGTGCGTGCAATTTTGTATTGATTTTCATGAAGAAATGGATAATGAAATGTCCAGAAACAGAAATGACTTAAAGTTTATTTCCAAATACCAGTTCCCTGTCACAGTATGTCCAAGATGCAAGAGCAGAGAATGCAGAACTCTCTTCTTTTCCCTCTACCTCCATGCCCCCTTTCCTTTCCTCTTTTGGCCTATTGTGTGAATTTTCTACTACCCTTTCTCTTATTAGTACCATTGCAAACACACAGGTTTTCTCTACTTTTACCATTTAGTATGGGCCAGGCATCAGACAGGTTTTCTCTACTTTTACCATTTAGAATGGGCCAGGCATCAGTCACAGGTGGTAACCTTGATCTTCATGATGTAATGCATTCTATTAAATTTCTGTAACTTCAGAACTTTGCTGGAATCTATTGTCTGGTATACATGCCATCTATACAAGACAATAGATTCAAGCAAAGTTCTGTACTCTTTATATATTGCATCTGTAATAGGAGTTCTATGGGCCTAAACTATGGCCTCACTGACATCTATCCAATCCCATGGCTTTTGCTAGGTCATACCAGGAAACTAATTTGAATTTAGTAAACCCTTCTGTGGATTATGTATAACAATGGAATCTAGCTCATTGCTGCTCAGCCCTGTTAATTCTACTGGAGTAAAAAGCTTCATTTATCCCTAGCGAAACTACATGTAGGCAACAGATCTGTGGAGTAAAAATGCTGCTTGTATTTTCAATGCTACTGCTTTCCAGAGCCAAAAAGCAGGAGAAAACTAGATTGTAAAACCAAACAGGAAATGTTCAAATGGGACCCAAACTGGCTGTGATAGTCATCTAATGGACTATAAATGTAAAATAGTAATAACATTTTGCCAAAAAGATGGATTATATGTCTTAATGAGTCTTCTAGCCAATGTTTGATAAGCTGCTTATGCTTTGCATGCTCAACCTCTAAATTAACATGATTAGAAACAGGAAGCAGAAATTCAGTCACCTTCAAATAAAATTTCTCTTAAATTGAACCAACTGGGCGGATGACCTAATGCATATTCCATGGCAAGTTATCTTAGTTTTAAGCATTAAATGCTGTTTCTTAGGTGTTTAAGAAATAGCTAATTATTCCTGATTTTTGAAAGCAAGAAAAATTCCACAGAGAAATATTTACTGCCTCCGTGCATGCAAATAACACCTAACTATTCCAGCATTCAAGAAATTCAGACAAGGCTATTTTATCAGGAGTCTAATATTTCTTAGTCAACTTCCTCTGAGCCTCTGTCTCTGTCAATTTTTATATTGAACATTTTGTAAAAGTCATTTCTATTCTGTGGTGAGACATTTGAACTTTGGTCAGAAATAAACCATAATGTGCATTGCAGCTATCATAAGACTTAACCTTTTTCATTGAAAAATATAGTTAGTTAGGATCACCAATGTTGCTTAACTTTTTATTGCTTTATTTACTTTGGCCTTGTGACTTCGTGGTGAGTTACAATAAAAAACATGAACGGAGTAGCTCTATTTTTTTTTCTTCAAAGAATCAGCAAATAGTATCTACGGTGTGGAGCAGTGAGGTTTTATTTTGGCTCCTACGATAGTAAGTGCCATCTTTAAAGGTATTAGCTTGAATTTTTATTAGATACATATTCTTCTTAGACTGCACCAGTAGCCAATGGGAAATACCATTCCATACGAAATGTGTAATCATTTCCTCATACAGAATTAACCTATGTAAGAATGAATGGGGCATTTCATTGAGAAATTATATGCACAAAAAGGAACTTTTTGACTGTTTGTAAATAGGCAACCGCACACAGTGCTGTTAGAACAAAGAGGAAAGGTGGCCTTGTGATTCAAAGATAGAATTTTGGGGTCAGACAATCTGGTTTCCATACCCATTCTGCCTCCTAACATCCTCTGTGATCTTAACTCATTGTTCCCTAATCTATGCCTCAATTTGTGCTTCTGTAAAATGGGTGTAATTCCTCTTTGCTTGTTGAGCAGCTTGATTAACATTTGTAAAACATTTGTGATCCTCAAATAAGTATTTTGACAAGTGTTACCAAAGAACTTTCTGCTATACGCAACTCCAAATCTGGCAGAACACTTTCACCAGAACCAGTAGAACAGAATGATGGAGCACCCAGGTGTGAGACTAAACATAGTTAGCAGGAGCACATTTGATGGATAGGATTGGATGAAATTGCTCACAATGCATAATAGTACCCTTAGGGACACTGAGTATTGAAAATTCCAGTGAAACAAAGATAAGTCAATGGTAAGAAGGGCAAACAATGTTAGAGATTTAAGTTTTTATTCTGTTACTCTTTCCTTTTTCCCTCAGGGTGAAAATATTATGTAAGAATAATATAGCATCATGGCCAGAAGGAGAAGATAAAAGAAACATCTTTGAGGAGTGAGCTGCTGTTAGGATTGCAGCAGCTGTTACCAGGTAGAATGTTTGAATCCCTGCATATATCACTCATGTTTTTGGAAGACTTCACTAAATATTCTCTCTCAAAAAAATGAATCTTCTTAAAGTCATGTGTTACCTCATGCTTGGTGGCTTAGTTTTTATAATCCCTGAGCAGAATTTGGGCTTCTCTGGAGATATAAGCAATAGTTTCTTCCAGTGTCTTCTGAGCAACTCATTATGGATTAATGAAAACTGACACAAGATTAAATTTGACCGTGAAGAAATTTGACATTCCCCAGGGCACAATCTGGACACTTGAACAACTGTGTACTTCACTTCTCTGTTCTGGGGTGCCTTTCATGCTGCTTTGCTGTGAGAGCTACTACTCCTGGCCTTTGTCAAACACAACCATTAGCATGGAAATTAGTCCCAGTTGAGTTACATGAGTGCATCTAATCAGCCACTCCTGAATTGCATTGCAAAATGACACCAACAAATTCTCAGTCCCAGATTTGTCCCCAAAAATATACATTTTGTACTGCCTACCTTTTTCCTTCAGAACAATACAGGCTCAATGAAAATCCTTCATTTCATTAATGGAAAATTATACGAACAAATCCTGTTATCTCGAATAAAATTTCTCAAACACTTCAGTCCAAATACACATGGATTTATTAACTACTCTCAAAGGTATATTTAACTGATAACAAGTAATGAGCCATAAAAACCAGAATTGGTTACAAAGAAATAAAAGGTAGAATACGTAATTTAACAAGGCAAGTGAATTTAAAGTAATAAAGGTTTCTTTAACCACATATTTACAGTCTGGCTTGATCTTCCAGCCAGGGCCTCTCCTCCAGTTCAATGATATTCCTTTTGTCTTTCAAATATTGTGGATGACATGAATACAGATGAGGGGAGAAAAGTGACTTATGTCCTGTGTTCCTCATTTTTATTTTACTTCTTCCTCTTTGAGAATCATCTCCAGCTGGGTGCAGGGGATAGCCAGTCTGTTTAGCAAAGGAACCCTTTGCTGCTCCCTTGCCTAGGTGTAAATGTCTCATTCCCTCTGTTCTTCCTGCCAACAAATGGCCACTTACCCTGGTGATGGTCCATTTGGTTGTGTTGACACCTGGCTGAGGTATCCCTTTTCCAATTGTCTCTGGGGATTGGTTAGGACTGTTTCTTCAGAGTGGGAATATGCCTTAGTAACATCATATAGCAGAATCTTACAATGTTACATATAATGCTGCCACACATATTTTACCAGAACAATAATGATCAGCAAATTATAAGTTTTCAGATGGATACCTCACAAGGTATACTTTGTACAAAAATTATCAGTGTTTTATAAAGATGGTGAAAATGAGGGTGCAGTCTGTCACAAAAGTGAGTGATTGACTCTTGTCATCTTAGTTCAATTAGTGAATGTGTGCTCAACCCAGTCAGGAAAACCAAAAATTTGGCAGTGAAAAGGGAAATTAACTGGGTTTTGATTACTAAGATGGAATAAACTGGTACAGTGAAGCAGGTCAGATATGAAAAGAGGGTAAAATTAACTTGACAGTAGCTCTTAGTTCCATTTGTATTTAAACCCTTAACACAAGTCATGAGTGGAACTTTAAATCTGCTGCACAAGCATAGATTTCAGATAATGACTCCCAGTTGAGAACAAATTCCAGGACTACATGAAGGAGAGTTCCTTTTGTTTACCTGGGGGAACTCCAGGCTACGAGGGTCCT